GAGGCAGTATCACTACGGAAGTAGGATTGCCCAACCTTCCTTCCGAGGAGTGGCTGGTGGGTTTGAACCGCCAGCCGTCTGGTTAGCAGGCAAGTGACTTAGCCACTATGCTACCAGAGCTCCTTCCATGTGGGTAGTTATGTATTATTTTAAATCATCACAAAATTATGATTGTTGGTGGATAGATTTGTCACTGTTAAAAGCAGGACTACAGAAACAAGGTAAAGACCATGATTGGAATTTGAAGATCAGATGGGATTCCAGGATTGGATCTGGGCCTTGACTGCCTGGATAGGTGGTGGTTCCAATAGGCTGTGACTCACCACCTTGTGGCCTGAGTCTTAGCCATGAAGTGACTACTAAACAGTACTAAGACCCCAACCTTAATTTAAATTAGAAAAGGTCACTCTCAAGCAAGTTCCCTAGTTCTTTGTAACAGTATAATCTACTCTCAAATACACTCTTCCTGATGGCAAAGGGCCTCTCCCTATGCTTGTCCCAGAACTTGTCTGGGCATAACCACAAAGATGGTTTAGTGGTCAGAAAGAATCCAAAGGGCATCAGAAACTTATGTCAAGCCTCAACTGGACTTAGGGCTCCTACTGTAGACCGTAGCCTTCCACAACTCCAAGTGCTTTAGAATTTAAGTTCTCATACATACGTTTTTGTTTCTGAGTCATAAAAACAATTATAACATTGTCCAAGATTTGATAAAAAAAAAAAAAAAAAGAAAGAAAGAAAAAGCACCTGCATAGAGAAAAAAACCAACCGCTAAAGTTTAGGGTATATAGTTTTAAAAAAAAATTGCCTAGGCTAAAAATTTTTAATATATATTTTATGTAGCAATATGGTTTCTCTGAATCTAAAAATATAAAGTAAAATTAAAGCAATAAATAAAAGCAATATAAGATTTTACAACTGTGGAGGAATTGTTTTTAAATATTCAAGTAATGAAGTCTACGTAATTACAGTATTGATCTCAGTTATTTAAATTACAGATAATTATAAATGTTATGGTAATTGCATGGGGCAATAAAGAAAAAAACTGAGTTTTAATACTGATGTATTATTAGGCAATACATTTTTAAGTACTTAATCTATATTTGCATTTTTCCATGCTCTTTATCTTGGACTAATTAAAATATTTCTGTTATTTAAGCAAATATTGACATTTCTTTCTGGAGCCTAAGCCTCTTAAAAAGACAATCAAGGTAAAGGTTTTGTCAGTTTTACTTCAACATAATTTCAGAAATGTGTTAATGTGTGTGCCATCTGGTCAGTGCTGACTCTTAATGACCCTATGTGACAGAATAGAACTGCCTCATAAAGTTTCCTAGACGGTAATCCTTCTTGGGAAGGAGTTCTGGTTGTACAGTTTCTGAGGAATTTGACTGCTAACCAGAAGGTCGACAGTTCAAATGCACCAGCCACTCTACAGAAGGAAGATGAGGTAATCTGCTTCCATAAGGATTTGCAGCCTTGGAAACACAATGGGGCTTGGCTATGACTTGGAATCAACTTGATGTCAGTGGGTAATCTTTATGGGAGCAGATCACCAAGTCTTTTCCCTGATGAGATCCTTAAAAAAAAAAAAAAAAAATGTAGACCCATAAAAGTAGAAAACAGTAGCTCTTATTCTTACTTGAGTTTAGTCCAAAAATGTATTTAAATTTACTCATACATATGTAACTAACTGATTTCATGAACAAAAGGTGAATAGTTGAGAAGGACAGTAGAGGAAATTTCCACCTGTGTGATTATTTTATTGTTTCTTTAATTTGATTGTCATTAATGAGGAACCTGGTGCTGCAGTGGGTAAGGCATTTGGCTGCTAACCAGAAGGCTGGCAGTTCAAACCTACCAACTGCTCAACTGGAGGAAGATGACATAATCTACCTCTGTAAAGACTTATAGTCTTGGAAACCCAATGGAGGTCACTATGAATGGGAATCCACTCCATGACAGTGGATTTTTGGTTTTAGTGTTGTTGTTGTTGTTAAGTGCCGTTGAGTCATTTCCAACTCATAGCAACCCCATGCACAGCAGAATGAAACACTGCCCGATCCCATGCCAGCCCCACAATCCCTGCTATACTTGAGCCCATCATCGCAGACACCATATCAA